AACAGCGTCAAACATTTTCTTACTAATCTCAAATCTGAAGCCCGAACGCTATCGATTTTTCCTTTATAACCGCCAACCAAACCAACACAGCACTCGATGTACAAGACATTCTGTCTCCTGCAGTATCTGACCCCCCAGCCAAATTTGGCCCCTGCAGTGCGTTTATTACCGGCCCTGGTGATGAATAAATCTAACTTGCAGTGCCGCAGTCGATGATAAAAAGTCGATTGTTTCCCTTTGATGAGGCAGGAGGAAAAGAGAACTCTGCAAAATATAAATGAGTTGTCGTTCTTGCTGTCTCGGGTTACGTTTACCACATGTTGTCATAGAGATGTTTTTTTCTCAGCAGATGGGGGTGGGGGAATGCTAGACTATTTTTGTTTTAAAGCAGACGATTTTTAAAATGTAACAGTTAGCGACATAATAATTTCCAGCATAAAATTGTGATATTGTATAATCAACCCCAATTTTATTTGGCATGGATGGTAAACGTGTATTTTTAAGTAGGGAGGCATGTACTAAAACACGATTCCTAAACTGTAAGAGGCCACCCCCCCCCCCACCCCCACCCCCCGATTGTCGCGATCGTCATTATGTACTTCTAATATTTTTTAAACTCTTGTTAACCATTCATTGAACTGGCGAAAACATATTTATTCTATAATATATCCTGAAATTATTTTTTTTTTTTTTGCCTTGGTGTCACGCCCCCGTCTTGTGACGCCTCTGCTCTGTCCCATTCAGTTCCAAGAACATGGATTCTGATCACGTGGTTCTTCTTTTCTACAGTCCAGAACGCTGGTTGCGAAGGAAATTTAAATCGAGTCATTAATTGAAAAATGTACGTACAAAGACAACATACAACAAAAATTGTGCGATAAGTGATAGATGTAACATATCCAGCGGCCAAATTAAAACTTAAAACCTGAAACTTCAGGGGGAAGAAACCAAATATTATTAAAACTCGCGGAGGAGCGGGGAGGGGAGGGAAACGGGGGGGGGGGGGGGATTTGTCATGTTTGTAATCTGCAGGTGAAATAAATGAAAATCTGAGATTAAAAATGAGATTACTGAAGAAAAAAAAACTATTCTAGATCAGAGGCGTAGCGACCCTTCCCGGCGCTCGGGGACAAACTTTCAATTTGCACCCCCCCTCCCTCAAACTTTCAATTTGCACCCCCCTCCCTCAAACTTTCAATTTGCATACCCCCCCCCCCTCCCTCAAACTTTCAATTTGCATACCCCCCTCCCTCAAACTTTCAATTTACATCCCCCCTCCCTCAAACTTTTAATTTGCACTCCCCCCCTCCCTCAAACTTTCAATTTGCACCCCCCACCCTCAAACTGTAAATTTGTACCCCCTCCCTCAAACTTTCAATTTGCACCCCCCCCCCCTCCTCAAACTTTCAATTTTCACCCCCCTCCCTCAAACTTTCAATTTGCACCCCCCTCCCTCAAACTTTCAATTTGCACCCCCCCCCCCCTCCCCCAAACTTTCAGTTTGCACCCCCCTCCCCCAAACTTTCAATTTGCACCCCCACTCCCCCAAACTTTCAATTTGTTTTTCCAACCCAACATATGTCTCCCCCCCCCCCACCCCCCCCCCCGCCCCTCGCCCCTCGCTACGCCTCATTTCTGGACTACATTGCCACGAAATCTATTCTCTGCTTTTGTTGATATAGTCAGCTCTCCCTTTAGACAACATGATGCATTTTTTGGATTAGCAGTACTATGATTCCTCGGAAATGAAAGATTACCAAAACAATCCTGGTGGCTTATGTGTCATTCAAACCAAAAAGTGACGAAGCTTGTCTTTCGAGTTTTATTTCAATTGTCTCCATATTTCTGCTAACCTAGATTTTCAACTTTGTTTAATAAAAAAAAATTTAAAATAAAAAAACAACTACATAAATAAATAAAATGTTAAGAGTGATATGATGTCAGAGGCGCAGCGACTTTTCATTTGCACCCCCCCCCCCTCTAACTTTCAATTTTTTTTCCAACCCATTTTGGCGCCCCCCTCTAAGGTCGGCGCCCGGGGACATATGTCCCCCCACGCCCCGCCCCCCCCCCCCTCCCCTCGCTACGCCTCTGTATGATGTATGCGTTTGCAAAAGCACACCTAAGTAAAAATAGGGACAATAGCACATTAAAAAACGGTGTCGTTTTAACGGGTTTGTCAATGTATTAAAGCTAAATAAAAATCATTTTTATCCTATTCTAATGTTGTAAAGGATGATTACCATTTCCTGACGGGTACCTAAAATATGAGTTTTATGGTATTGGTTAAAGACAGCCTAATTTTAGATATTAGCTTTGTTGTCTAAGGAGTTCTTTTCGTGGACAATTTTTTATGTGCAGAAAAATCGAAGTTGTAAGTTAATTCAATGCAAATACACCAAGTGAATTTACTAATGTAAATAGACTTGATTAAATCAAATAAAGAAAAAATGGGAGCCACAGTAATTAACTAGTGTTACAGTGAATTTTTACAAACTATTCTAGTTGCTTCCCATATATAGATTTAATAAATAATGAGAAACAACTTAAAACTATGCTCCAAAAAAATAATTTAACAAAAAGTTAAATCCGAGAAAAAAAAATCAACACATGTTCGATTATTAATAATATTTTGAACACCATTAATATAAATTTTTCTAAAATATTTATGTTTCTATTTTAATAGAAAACTATTAGCGACATTAAATATTTCATTTTTAGACAAAAGAAAGTTTACATTGATCTAGGCCAGGGGTCGGCAACCTTTTGAAACTGAAGAGCCAAAAGTTACAATCTATAAAATTTCCCAGACTTTAAAGAGCCACTAACATGTGTATGTGCACTTTGGTAGTGGAAAGCTTGGAACCATTGCCACAGAGCTGGCCACAATATAGTTGTGAGGCTGGGCCTAATGTCCTAGGCTGTCAACTGTCCATATACACTCTACTCCACCTATTCTCATTGTTTTTTTTTAATTTCGTTTAAAGTTATTGTTTTTACAGTATAATTTTTTTTTACTTTCTATAATACAAGAATATAATTATGATAGAACTAGAGAGCCGCATATTGACATCAAAAGAACCGCATGCAACTCGCGGGCCGCAGGTTGTGGACCACTGCTGCGAGTAATTTGGTTTTTTTTTTTTTTTTTTTTTTTTTTTTTTTTTTTTTTTTTTAATAATAATATAGAAGAAATATTTATTTTTTAGTTTTAAATTACAAAACATTTTAAAGCATATAATAATAATGCAGTAGTTGAAAACAAAATTGACAATTATCGAAAATTTGTAGACATGTTTGACAATACTTTTCTTTCTAGCTCAAATGTATAAGGGTAAACATTGTCATTCACTTTGGAATATTCCAGATTGGATTCCAGCTGATAGAATGCATTTGTTAAAGTTTTGCTGTGCTGTAAACTTTCTGACAATTTAAATAAGACACCTTCGAGCTCAGCAAATCCATGCCCTCTTCCAATAGTCATGTAACGAACTTCATCTATCTGATTCTGATGCCGCTTGCCGTACAAAGACATGTCTATTTTTTATTTGATGAAACTAACTAGATCTAGTGTCAATAGATATTTATAAATTTACTAATTAACAACAAGATCTAGCCTGTTAGGCTAGTACTCGGGTCTAGAATCTAGATCTAATTTTAGTCTTTATTTTTGGTTAACACAAGAAATCTTGTAAAATTTTTTTTTTTTTTTTTTTTTTTTTTTTTTAAATAATTTTATTTGCAATTAAAACAAGTACATCAACATCACATTTTTTACATAATTTCGAACATCAAATGAAAACGAAAGGTTTTGCAAATGTAATTAATGTACATTTACATGATGTCATGTATATGATTCTAAAAAAAATTTGAAAGGACTACAGTAAAAGGGGTGAAGGTCAAATAAAAGTGTCAGAAGTCTGGGTGGGGAGTGGAAAGGAAATTTTTTTTAGAGAGGGTCAATGGGACAGTGAAGCATTTTCTATGTAGGGAAACAAATTATGTTGACTAGTTGAAAGAGTGTTTTTGTACTGGTCGCGTTGAGTTTTCAAAAGGTTGCTGTGTGAAAGATAAGGGGAAAGAAACAAGATTTAGAACTTTAATTAAGTAAATGAATAGATATTCGAAATTGATGTTGGAAATCTTGTATAAATATTTAGAGAATCTCATACGGGTCATAGTAGCAGTGCTTAATAAAAAGGAATTCATTTTATTAAAGCGAAGTTATCTTACATAATTACAAGTTTCGTAATTTAATTAGGGGTATTTTTTCTTATAATATCAATAAACTTTTAAAGGCAGACAAAATTAGTACATATATTTTATTAATACCTATAGAAAAGAAATAAAAATCAACAAGGATTTACATAATTATTATATTTCCAATGGGGTATTGGTATTTTTTGTCAATTTGATAACATAATTTTAGTTGTTTCCCTTATTTGTATAAACTAGTATATGGGAAGTAAGAAAAAACCCAACCCATATAATACATATTTATCAAGTTGCAACATTGCTGTGTCGTATAGAACAGGGGTCGGCAACCTTTTGGGACGGAAGAGCCAAAAGTCACAATTTACAAAATTCCCCACCTTTTAAAGAGCCACTAACATTTTAATTTCAATATTACTATTACGATCTTTGAATAGGATAAGGTATAGGTATAGGTGTGTGTATATATATGTATATATATATATATATATATATATATATATATATATATATATATATATATATACTTAATAAAATATCATAATATTGAAATTAAATTGTTTGTGGCTCTTTAAAAACTGTGAAATGTGGTAAAATGTAACTTTTGGCTCTTCCGTCCCAAAAGGTTGCCGACCCCTGCTATATAGGCTTAATTATAATATATATCTTCTTAGAATCTTATTACTGGACGTCTATAGTATCAATAACCTACTCTATCATTCTCTATGAGTTTATGAGTATTTTTAATTATTATAATTAAGTCTAACTAATAGATCTAGTAATAATTAAAAAGCATTGCCTACTATAAAGGAGCTGCAAAGGAAGCGGGGAGAGCTGCCACTCTACTGAAGAAAAGAGCTCGTGAACAGGAAGAGGCTGAAGCTAAAAAGAAAAAGATTGAAGAAGAACTTGCTATTGGGAACATCCATAATAAATTTGCCACGCATTATGACGCTATTGAACAGTCCCTAAAGTCAAGCACAATTGTTCTGGTCACCTTGACTGAGATGAAAGCAAGACAAGAGAATGTCATTAAAGAACGGGAGAGACAACTTGCAAAGAAAAATGCCGAGGCTCGGCTGATTGCAAAAACAAAAAGAGATAAAAAGAAGAAGGATCAGAGGAAGATAACAATGCTGTCATTTGATCTGGAACAAGAAGCAGAAGATGATGATGACGACAAGGAGGAAGAGGCCAGGCCTTCAGATGATACTGATGATACAATGTCAGAAACAGAACTGTCAGAAGAACTCCGTGATTTGGCAGAAGAAAAGAGAGAGCAGAAAAGAAGAAAAAGGCTGGGTATGAACCCAGATGTTGACACCAGCTTTCTACCTGATAGAGACAGAGACGAGGAGGAAAACAAACTAAGAGAAGTTTTGCGCCAAGAATGGGTGGCTACACAAGAAAGAATTAAAAATGAGGAAATCACAATTACCTACAGTTATTGGGATGGCTCTGGACATAGGCGACAGATCAAGATGAAAAAAGGAAAAACAATCCAACAATTTTTACAGAAGTCTCTGGAGAACTTACGTAAAGAATTTAATGACCTAGTTCCAGTATCCGTGGACCAGTTGATGTATGTGAAGGAAGATCTGATCATACCCCACCATTACTCCTTCTATGACTTCATAGTAACCAAGGCGCGAGGTAAGAGTGGACCCCTATTCAACTTTGATGCTCATGATGACATAAGAATTGTCAATGATGCTAAGATAGAGAAGAGTGAATCCCATGCTGGCAAGGTCTGTTTGAGGAGCTGGTATGAAAGAAACAAGCACATATTTCCTGCAAGTCGCTGGGAGCCCTATGACCCTGAGAAAAACTGGGACAATTACACAATCTTTGACAAAAATGCTGTCAAAATTACTGTTAAGTAACTGAATATTTTAAAATGCTCTGTCAAGTAAAGTATTACATTGTGTCCTAAATTATTAAATATGCTACCATTAATACAACCTGTGAATAACATAATAAAAAACAACCAACTATTGCAAAAAAAAAAAAAAAAAAAAAAAAAAATAAGCTTAACAAAAAAAAATTAAGCTTACAAAAGTCATAAAACTAATTCGATTTTCCTAGATTTTCTAGCCTACTCTTAATAAAACATATATCGTTTTGATTTGAGTGATGTATATCAACGATTTTTAAAAAAAAATATCTGCAGACGTTGTACCTAATTCAGAAGCAAACCTTAAAGAATGCAGAAACTCAGCATTGAGTGGTAAATCAACAATTAATGTATCATTACTGAGGCCGTTTTTTTTAAAAAATCCACTCGTCTTTAGGTCCCTCGTAACTCAAATTACTCGAAGTTTAAAGCAATATATATATATATATATATATATATATATATATATATATATATATATATATATATATATATATATATATATGTTTATTTATTTATTTATTTATTTATTTATTTATTTATTTATTTATTTATTTAATATTTTAAAATACCGTTTTATATTTTTTTTTAAACAGCTCCATCAACAAAGGGAAATTACTCACACATTATCTATTCGTGTTGTTGCCGTATTATATAGAGCTAGCGCACCCGTCGCGCGTTGCTGCGATCTCAGAAGAAAGGAAATTCAAACTGTGGCAACATTTTAATTAGGATTTAATTAGATTTCATTAACGCCTCACTAGTTATGTATGTTAAGACGTGTGGCCTTGTTTTCTAAAGCTGGGTTATTTCAAACGTGCCGGCGCTATATTTCTTGGAACTTTGTGCGAGAATGTACTTCAACAGTAAATGCTGTAAAAAAAATTCTTCATTTTACGTTATACGTTAATCGTAAAAATAAAAGAAATAGAAAAGGTTGATCATATATAATATATATATATATATATATATATATATATATATATATATATATATATATATATATATATATATATATATATATATATATATATATATATATATATATATATATATGACAAACTTTTTTTTTACATAGACGTTATTAGCTTACACACCTCAGTGCTGTTGTATTGATTTCTTTAACTTGGTATCATTTGATTGATACGAGATGCGAAAGTTTTTTTAAAGACAGGGGAGGTAACTAGTTATTTTTGTTTAGAAAATAATTTCTATGATAATTGCTTGTTTAAAACTTTTCACTTGTGTGAGCTGTATAAGATACTACTGATACTTGATTTTTAAAACTAAGGGAAATAACTATAGCTAACTGTTTACCTGAAAATATTTCTATAGTTATTTTTCCTTTAACTCGGAAGAAACCAGTGATAGGAAAACTTTTTAAGCCTTAACTTTTTTTAAACAATAAACTCTGTCAACTATCAAGTGTTAAAATACGCCTTTAGAGTTGATTTGTTTGAGAAATTCGCAAGTTCATGTAATCTATATTCTAGTATTCGATGTTTAAAAGTAATCGTATCTTTTCGAAACTGTCGATCTAAGTTTCTTAGATCTGGGCATACAAAGAGATAGAGTGGTCAGTACTATGTCCAGCCGCCCTTACTTTCCCTAACGAGAGTTAGCTACCCAGCAGTGCCGACCAGAGTTTCTTCCAGGCATTTCTTCTAAGAAAGTCTACCGCCCCCCCCCCCGAACGAGATGAAATTTATATAGTAAACATATACTTTTACTAGTGTTTGCCCCCCCCCCCCCCACGAAAATATTAAGTCCTCCCCCCCGGAAGAAAAAAGTCTGAAGAAACACCGCTGATGATCTACTAACGTAATTTTGTGACTGTATGTAATGAGGGGAGAGGGGGGAGGTTCAGACGGTGTGACGTCACACTTTTGCATTATAAAAAAAGCAATGCTAGAAAACGAATTTTAGCACATTTCGCGTTTTAGAAAACTGTTTTAATAAATTTAAAAACACTCTATGTTGACAGAGTTTAGACAAGATTTGGAAAAAATATCGATGTTTTAAGAAAGAATCAACTGCAGTTTTGAGGCGGTTGTAAGCTGAGGTGTTAAGTAATTTTAGGGGGGGGGGGCTTTTTGTGATGAAGTGTGACAGATGGGAGGGGGTTGGGGTTAGAGTCAAAGTTTTCATTTGCTTGAAAATAAAATTTTGATGCCAAGCGATTGCGAAAAAAAAAAAACCTTTAATTCGGTGCTAAAAAAAAATCTGTGTAGTTGAACTTACTTCATTGAACGTCGACACATCAAAATCCTAGTCTGAGTATAGGAACCCTCATGTTTGTGTGACTAGGAATTAGTTCAGTCTATAACTCAAAGAAAACTAGAGATAGGGTAATTTTTTAGCCTAACAGTAACACTGCGTTTACATTTGCGACATGTATACTATACAAGTCTAGAAATTGTTTTATTTTAAAATTATGTTTGATATTGAGAGAGACCCGCCCTCAATGTTGTCATTAGCTGGAGGTCAGCATCATTTTAGAGCTGTTTATTTTTAGTTCTTTTCAGCACTATTACGTACGGTGGATGGGAAGGGATGTGGGCACTGTTCTTGAGAGATGCATGCAGAGGCGTAACTAGGGGAGGACGAGTGTGGGTGTCCGCCCCAGGAGGTGACAAACAGGATAAAAAAAGTAAAATTAAAAAGTTCATTTTTAGCTGCATTACCGAAATAAGCACTGTCGGTGTTGAGAAAATGGACTACAAGTTGCCTTAATTAAACTGTTTTCTACACCAATTCTGTGTCTGCAAATAACAAATTTATGGCACATTGACTGGTAAAAAGCGCCTCCAACCTTTTCCAAATAAGAAGGAGGGGGGTGCCTTTCCGCCAATGTGAATAACTACGTAAAAAAGGGGTCGCTACGCCACTAGATGCCTGAAAGAAACAACGTCATTCTGGAGGTCCGGCCTACACCACTGATATCAACATCCTAACTTATTTTTTGAAGCTCATAATCCGTCACTGGTAAATCCTAGTAGAACTAGCAGAACTACTCCACGAAAGGTCTCACTGTTACACCTCTCTGAGTGTGAGTTACGCGAGTATATCACGCCTTATTTTCTCCTCTATATCCACCCCCTACCCGCCTACCCCCCCCCCCCCACACCCACCCACCCACCCTCCAGTAGCTGGACACATTTAGTAGCCGCCCTTAGGACTGTCACACACTCGTCTGAGTGAGCTCAGTATCGAACCATCGAACGCAGTATCGAACCATTGAACGTAGTCGTGATCTCGATCCACAACACACTCCCTCCCCCGCAGCACGCTTTATCGAATTACAAATTTAGCCAATGGATTCATGGCGACATTCTCGCCTCAGCCAATCGCCGGCCGTCTTACGTCGTGTCGCGTGCTGCAAACAAACAGATTCATAACACGGATTTTATCGGCTAGGCGGCGTGCGAAAGGGTGAGTGCATTCTTTCAAATTTTTCTTTTATTTATTGCCGTACACATGTTGGAAGGACATTTACTGTGGTTGGGTGGAGTACATCATCTAAATGCTAAGCGAATGAATGCCAATGACTGATGGTGTAGATATGACAAGCTTTCCTTGCTCCTACACCAACAATGCGAAGCTGCGATCTTAGCTGTTTGGAGGCATCTCATTGATTTTTTGTTCTTGCATGAATGTGGGAAAGGGAGGGGGGGTATGGGGTCTAGGGTAGGGAGGGGGTGGCGGCGTGGTGTGGGGGTGGTGGCGCTTTGGTTGGGTAGGTGGGAAACAGGGTGTTGATGGCGCTCTAGGTGGTAAATTGTTGATCTAGCACTTTTAACGGCATAGAATTGGAAAGATTTTGGTGGGCAGATGAATTAGAGTTCATTTGTTTCAATGACACCGGCATACAAGGGGATAAGGTGGTCAACATTATACCCAGCCGCCTTTGTTTTCCTAACCTGAGTTAGGCACGCATCAGACCAAATATCATCCGAGCCCCCAGCCTAATTATATAATATATAATAGCTTATGACAAAAAGTAATCCTAATCTTAATCCGTTAGCTCTGAGATAAGTAAAACTAGCTGAAAAACAACCTATGATATATTACAATTGTAAAATCAATTAGGGTACTAATTAGTCAAAGTCATTGCACAAATTGGAAGGCGTGTCGGACGACTGCTAACCCGAGAGTTCGGATCCCAATTGGGCTGGTAAGTAGGTCACCAACCAGTTCTATGTCTCATGCAGGTTTTATTGAACCGTAGAACTGGTTGGTGACCTACTTACCAGACCTATTCTGATGGCTGACACGTTAGGGAAAGTAAAAGTAGCTGGGCACTGAACTGGTCGCATCTATCTCCGTTCTGTGTCAAGGTCACAGAATCATCTGTTGAGTATATAACCCTTAACGGTGGCCCAGAGACATCGACCTTGAATGATGTCACATTTTCGTGGGGAGGGGTTGTGGGGAGCACTTGTTTGTGGTGAGGGAAAGAGGGAAGGGGTTAAATGAAAGTGCGATGCCAAACTTTGGCATAATAAGAAGCGTTTTATAGATTTATTATTATTTATTTTGTATCTGCATTTTTAAAGGCATTATTAAACTAAATGTTAGCAGATATTTTGCTTCTTTAAAGGCATTTTTGTACATTGTAATTGAATCCGATTAATATTTCAGAAATTACTTGTAGACACCCCCCCCCCCCACCCCAACTCATTAGCCTTCTTGCCAACAAAAAAAAAACAACATGCAAATGTCCTACCTGCCTAGTTTAATTGTTTTTTTAAAATCTGAAACACGTGTGCACTCATTTAATATGCGAGGGTTTTAGAAATCTTATTTTTGTGCATGTGTTAGAAATATGAAAACTAGCAACACTTTGTTCAACAACGCCCCACTCCCATGATTCTCCAGTACTAGCAACACTTTATTAAACTTCGTCCTACTCCCATAATCCTCATGTAAGCACGTCACTATTGAAGAAATCTTCTATGTATCATGAACTCCTAACCCACTATCCACTTC